AAACTTGTTCTCCGCGTGAAATGGCATATTGAAAGATATTGAAGAATCCATTCTTGATCGGTATACCACTCGGGAATCTTACCAACTGGAAGGAAGATGCTGAAAATATTATCATTAAAATGTCCCTGTTACATGGAAATGATGATGATGAGAGAAAGAGAGAGAGAGAGAGAGAGAGAGAGAGAGAGAGAGGGAGATAGAGAGAGAGGCCTTGAGAAAATTATCCTTGATAGTATTGATCAGAATGCTAGACAGTTCTTGATCAATGTTTCGCGTAGAATCGAAGTTCCTCAGGTCCTGAATATCGACCAATCTATTGTAATTAACAAGAAACAAGTGTTCCAATCTTTGGTAGTTTAACAGATTCGGTAGTTTTTCCAATGATGTGCAATGATTTGCATCTAGCAGCCCTAGATTGGGAGGAAGCTCATGGATTAATCGAAGATTCTTGCAGTTACCTAACCAGAGGCTATCTAGCTTGGATGGGTGACAAAGGCTAGATGGTAGGCTATGAAAATTATTGATCGCCAAATCTAGATGTTGAACTAAAGATAAACTTCCAATATTTGTGGGAATAGAGGCTTCATTCAGATTGCAGTGCCTGAGAATTAGTGTTCTTAAGGAACATAAACCCGAAATAGAAGGTGGGAGAAATCTGGTGGAGTCATGAAATCTTCTTGGGGATACCCAAGACATAATAAGCGGGAGCCAAGATTTGGACGGTAAGTTATTATTACATCTTCCCAAAGATAAGATGGTAAGGTTCTTTAGAAATCTACAAGAAAATGGAACTTGTTTGATAGCAGTTCCATCAGCAAGTAGTTCCCTCAGACAGTGCATATTCCCCAAGTGTTCTGGCAATTTTTTTAGATTTGAGCAGTCAGTAAGATTTAGATGCTTAAGCGATATCAGCTAGCAAATGTTGCTCGGAAGATCCGTAAGGTTCTGACAATCTTTTAAACTCAAGGAAGTAAGTCTATCCAGAACTCCAATTGAATAGTGAATCTCCAACAAAGATAAACAACTTTCAAGTAACAATATCTCCATCCTTGGTAACCCGATGAAGTTTGGGGTTCTTTTCAGGAATTTACAATGACTAAGATTCAGGACTTTTAGATTTTTCACAAACTGATAAATCAAAGAAAAAAATATCAAGATAAGGGTTTCATTTATTTGAAGATAAGTGAGCACAATGTTCAAATTAAAAAAATATCAAGGGTATAACAAATTTGTTTACCTTGCTATCTGGCCAAAGTTGTTTGATGTTGCTATGTTGCATGTCCAAAGCGACAAGATTTTTGAGTTGAAAATTGGAGGGTAAGTTCTTCAGAGGACAATAATACCAAGAAAACCATCTTAACTCTCTAGATAGATATTTAAAGCTGCCGACAAGACGCACATTATTGATCTGGAGTAGTGTTAATTTTTGCATCCTTGCAAATGATTCAGTCCTAAAATCTATATTCTTTAACAGTGGCAAGTCCAACACAATACCTTCAATTTCATTTGTGCCCTAAATTTCATAAAGGAAAATGCATTTTTGATAAGTAACTAACTACATGTAGGCATCAACCACACACATAGAGCATGTTGTGCGTGTCCCAAACTATATGAGTATATACACACACACACATATAGAAACAAAAATAAAATATGTGCACTAAACAAGAGTGATATTCTAGGCTATAAAGTTTTCCTATTGAAAGAAAGTAGTTTCTTATTACCTTGTCTGTTTGTAGCACATCACATACGTTTGTTTGAAACCACAGTCTGCTACGCTTTCCAGGCTCTTTAGGTGATTCTTCACAAAAAAATTCCGCCCCATCTCTCGTAGTAAATCATGCATACTCAATTGATTTTGGCCAACAATTTTTAGCAAGCATCTATTTATTAGGACACTAATTCCGATTTTCGGGAAGAAACCACAACCATTCAATATATAAATGACATAATCTTTATCTATTCCAATGAAAAAACATGTAATGTCAAGGAATATGTCCTTTACTTGTTCATCATCTAGTGCATCGAAGCGTATTCGGAGTTTTTTCTGAATTTGATTGTGAGTAATGTGTTTTAATTTCTCAAATACACTTTTCCATTCTAATATGGTTCGTCCAAACAAATAAGATCCCAAAACTTCATGAGCTAACGGAAGCCCTTGGGTGTAGTTTATTATGGCATTTGAAAGCTCCAAATAATCTTCTAATGGTATGGCTTGTCTGAAGGCATGCCAATTGAAAAGTTGTAGAGATTCATTATAGTTCAATTCCTTCGCTTCATATTTCACATCTACTTTAACTTTATTTAGCAAATTCTCATCTCTAGTAGTGATAATAATTCTACTACCCAACCCAAACCAATCACGGTTCCTGCTAATGAATTTAATTGGCTAATTTGATCAACATCATCAAGAACAATGAGTATTCTTTTAGAACGAAGTCTTTTATTATTCCAGTTGATTCCCCTATCAATGCTGCCAATACTAGGGCCCTTTTTCATAAATATTTCGGAAAGAAGTTGCTCTTGCAAATGAACTAGACCATTGAGTTGTTTTGAAATTTCACTCACATTCCTAGAAAACAAGAACCTTCAAATTGCTGAAAAACATGATTATAGACTGCTTTGACAATTGCTGTCTTGCCAATTCCTCCCATGCCAAAGATTCCAATCATTTGGATGTCACCCGATCCATTGGTTAGTAACAACCTTATGTCTTTAACACGAGAATCTAATCCAGTCAGATGCATGATGACGTTTAGATATGTGTGGCTCACTTTGCATAAGACCTCCTCAACAATTTTTTGGATAAACTTTGATTCATGCTTGTAATATTTTGTCCAAAAGAAATGAAAATTTATCATAGTTCAAATGAAAAGTAACCACAAGGAAACAATATATCTTGAAATAAAACTCTTACAGAAGGAAGTGGATGAAAATAAACCACAACAACTGTGGTAGGATATTGATTTTTTTTTTCATGTTGCATATATTGGTTGAAGTGTTATTTTGGATGACATATGTTAGTGTATTGAATGATAAAAAAGTTGACATATGCTAGTGCTTTGTCCATACTATGATATAAAGAAACATAGTGCATTGTCCATACTATGATATAAATAAGCATAAGGCCAAAAAGCGAATATATTGCAAGAGATGTAGTTAATCTTAAAAATTCGTGAAATAACAAAAATTTCACAAAACTATTTAAGGACTTCTTTTCACTAGCCTTGACAATTATACAAAATGTTTGTTTTTCTCTTTCTGTAAGTTACGCATTGGTATTAATTAGAACCATAATAAGTAAATATAAGGCAAAGCCGTTAACAACTACATTAGGCTTGACCTACTATAACAAAATGTACAAAAAACAGATGCTCTTTAGATCAGAATTTAGAAGGAAGTATATGCCTTGAGCCATTACTTCCAACTAAATCCTCTTCCATAAGAGCATCATCTGGTTTGAAACAACTTTCAAGTATCTAAACATCTAATTGGTAGTTGCCAAAGGTATGCAAGCTGACAATTATACAAAATGTTAATTGTTCATTAGAGATGGAAATAGCAATTAGCTATATTGATATCTCTATATTCGTTATATAGAGGCATTTGTTTGTGATACGTGCAGAGTTTTCTTCAAACATATAGGAAATTTGTGTTTTAAAAATGAAAAATTCGTCAACCTCGTCTAATCAATATAAAAGTTAGTAAGTGATTTTCTTTGGAAAGATAAGTGATTGAAGTTATTAAAAGGATAATATAAAAAGGGGCATTGTTGCTTCTAAATGGCATAATGTAAAAATAAAAGCAAGAGAAAAAGTAGTAAACATTAAATTAATGATATAAACAATTATAAGAGAGAGAGATACAGAGAGAGGGAGACCCTGTCTCTCACCATATAGTGCCTCCTCCACCTCCAATCTCTGCGATCGATTGTTACAAGCTCCTGTATTGCTCGTGCTTAGAGATGACAATCTTAACCTATTACCTATTAACCTTTCCAATCTGCCCATGAAAAAATGAGTTGAATACCTTTATTAATTAATGTGAGTTCTAAATGAGTTGGATAATAGTACTTGTTTTAATTAAGTGGATTAAGTTGGATAACAAATGGGTATCCATTGGATTGATTGTTTATCTATCAATTAAATAACAAAAGTAATAAAATTAAATGCATACACACTAATACACCAAAAAATACACACACTTATACAAAAAAAAAAAAAAATACACACACACATGCACACACTAGTTGACTAAAACAAACACACAGACTAGTACACTAAAGTATACATACCAATGCACAAAAAAAAAAAACACACACACACACACTAGTACACCAAAACAAAAATACATACCAGGAAATTAGTTTATGAACTTTGCTGCGAACAGAGGTTCCATGGCGATTGTCCTTCCCCGACCTACTTGAACCCTACATCCTGCCCACCAAAACCTTTACCATTTCTCCTTTCACCCACATCTACCCTACACTAACCAGCTCCTTCTCCTAGATCCCCAATTTTATTGCCCTTGGTTTCATCGCTCCTTGTTCTACCCACCCACCCCATATTTTTTCTCCTTTATCATTCACTACACTGCATCTGTAGATTTTCTCAACATCAATCCCTTCCACCTAACAGCTTTAATGATTCTGTGCTCTCTATCCACGACATGCTCTAGCCATAAATATGTCCAGCCTCTTAGAAAACCCAACGCCCTAAAATGCGGGAAATCTATCAATTTCCTACCCACCGAAGGACCAAGAGGTCAACCCACAACCCCAAAACCAAAAGAACAGTTATGTGTCAAGAAACTCTGCTACCATCTCTCCAGAGGTCAAGCCACATACCCCTCGAGCTTGCTCACTTGTTGTGTCTCACTCTTTGGTCAAAGAGCTATCTCTCTCAAGTGAGGGTAACAGCTCTACCATTCCAAATGGTGCTAGAATATTCACACAATTGATTTGTGCAAAATCTAGTGGAAATCCACATAATGGAACAACCATGCACAAGGAAGTCCCAAGTAGGAAGCCAACCAAGATAACCAGCTCATTGGCTACAGAGGCAAGCCCAGAGGTAAACCCATGTCCTAGCACTACTTTGAATCTTGTTTATGAATCCTCTATTAGGAGAAAGGAAGGTGTGGCCCATGCTCTATCAAATGAGGTGAGGCAAGAATCTTTGTTCACCACCAAAAACGTACCATTAGAACAACACCCCCGAGGTGCTGGTAGATTGAAACAAGCTACCTCCTGGAGCCAGGTTGTCAAGAATGGAGTGGGTCTGAACTCAAATATTCATGGATCAGCTAATCGTAAAGTCATGTCTCTTAAATTTGTTGAACCCATTAGGGATGCTCAAGAATTGCGGTCTCTCCCCTAGGGATATAGCTTTAAAAGGCTGCAAGGAGTGGGAAGCATGCCTTGTGGGGTACTTTATTGAGAGGAAATTGCCTTTTTCGGTGGTCAAATAGCTTGCCTCTAGGTTATGGAATAGCCTAGGACTCATTGAAGTCTTGGCCAATGACACTGGTTTCTTCTTTTTCAAATTTAATGATGAAGCAGCTAGCTCCAAGGTGCTTGAAGAAGGTCCATGGATGTTTTATGGGAAACCAATTTTGCTCAAAAAGTGGCACCCCAAACTTCATCTTGCCAAGGATTCACACTCCAAGATTACAATGTGGATCAAGCTCGACAATATTCCACTATAATACTGGAATGAAGAGGGATTAAGCCAGATTGCTAGTGTAGTTGGTAAGCCCCTATATGTTTATTCCCTCATTGAATCCAACCAGAGGATCACATTTGCCAGATTATGTGTTGAACTAGAAGCAGAAAAGGAGGCCATTGAATCATTTTACCTTAGTATGAAGGGTATTGATGATAGTGAGGATGACGAGGTTATTGGTTGAATACCAGTGGAAACCTAGGATATGCACAGAATGCAAGGTGTTTGAACATAGTACGTCTAATTGTCCTATGGGCACAGCTAACAGAGAATGCAAACAGAAAACATCCTTAGAAAAGGGCAAAGAAATGGTTATTGAACTAGTTATAGCATAACAGAATCATGAGATTCTAAACAATGGCAGTACAAGTTTAGGTGATCCCCATCTTACACTGCCTGAGTTATCTTAACAAATTTAGGGGAGATCCTTGTTCTTACAGGGAATGTGGAAATCAAGGCTTCCCCCATTCTTAAGGCTCCTATTAACATTGAGACTGGTAATAAGTTTTCTAGCCTAGTGGTTGAACTTACTGGGATAAAGGAGAACGACATGGAGAAATTAGTTTCGCCGAAGAAAAGCCTCCTAAGTAGCAAAGTGAGGAACATTGATGGAGTTCCATTTGGTACAACTAGAAAGAAGAAACAAAAGCAAAAATATTCTAACCAAGGGAAAGTTGGGGTTCCTAAAGCCCAGGGTCTGAGTTTACCCAAACCCAAATGATCAATCTATCTTGTTGGAATATTAGGGGTCTTAACTCCACCCCTAAACAAATGGAGATTAGGAAAATGATTTTTGAACAACAACTTGACTTGGTTGGTATAGTTGAAACCAAAGTAAGGGTTGTTAATAAGGAAGTAGTCAGGAGAACCATCATCAGAGATTGGTGCTGGTGTGATAACTACAACAGTCACAATTTGGGAAGGGTGTGGATTGGGTGGAATCCTCAAAGCATCATTGTACAGAAATTTGCTGAAATGGATCAAGTTATTCATTGCAAGGTCACTCATCATGCAAGTATGACTTCATTTACACTTACTATGGTTTATGATTCTAATGATGATACAGAGAGGGGAAGGCTTTGGAGGGACATGGAGGTTGTATCAAGAACTACATTTAATGATCCCTGGATAATCCTTGGGGACTTTAATGTGGTTAGATCAGTTGAAGAAATTCTAAGTGGCTCAACTAGTAGGACTTTGGCCATGGATGAATTTGAAAATTTCATCCATGTAGCTTAGATCACACCTAGATACTCGGGTGTTCAATTTACTTGGTGTAATAATAGAGGTCCAGACTGTACTGTTAGGAAACTGGACAAAACTATGGTCAATGAAGCTTGGATTCTAAAATTCCCAATGGCAGCAACTAAGTTTTTCCCAATTGTAATTTCTGATCATAATCCCATTGTGGTTAAAATGGGAAAAGAAATCAAAGCTAAGAAGTGCCCTTTTAAGTTTTTCAACTTCATTGCAGAGAGGGAGGATTTGCATTCCATTGTTAGTAATGTTTGGCAAGCTCAAATTAGGGGAACTATTCAATTCTAGGTCAACCAAAAACTAAAGCTCTTGAAAGCTGAGTTCAAAAAAATCAACAAAGAAAAAGTTGTTGTTGTTACAATCAAGGCTATTGAGGCAAACGAGCAACTTTCAGCTTGTCAAAGGCGGCTTGATACCAACTCCCATGACCAATCACTCAGGATTCTTGAAAAAGAATTGGTGGGAAAATGCTTTGAGGCCTTCAAGATTGAGGAAGATTTTCTGAGACAAAAGTTTAGACTCCAATGGTTAGCAGCAGGTGACAAAAACTCCTCCTTCTATTTCAAATCCATCTGAAGTAGAAAGAACAATTCCAAGATTATCACCATACAAAGATAGGATGGATCTTTTGCTGAAGGAGATAAGGAAATTAAAGATGAGGCAATAAATTTTTTCCAAAACTTGATGGGTAGGAGAAGCTCTCAGGATCCTTAAAAACCTACTACTCTACCGAACATTTTGCAAAACACCATTACAAGGGAACAATCTCATATCCTTAGCAATGAATTTATTAGGGCTGAAACTAAAGTAGTTTACACTCCCAGTAAAGGTCTAGGACTTGATGGATTCAATTGGTTATTCTTCAAAAAGGCATGATCAATCACTGGCGAAGACATTGTTGCTGCTGTTAAAGAATTCTTTGTCACAGGTAAGCTTTTCAAGGAATTGAATGCTACTATAATTGCTTTTGTTCCTAAAGTCCCCAAACCCGCAAGTGATGTGAAACCTGCCAAGAATAATGAGAACATACAACGAAAAGGAACCCAAGATCGTTTTACGATCAGATTTGATGCTAGACCTCGACCCGTTGTTTACGACAAATAAGAACCTTGGTATATAGATCTCAACCCGTTGTTTGTGAAACAAGAACCTCGGTATAAAGGAAGACGCTACAAACGGTGTGGAAACCCGTTTGATAAGTCACTGGTGAACACCACAGAAAATCCCGATAAGTTCGTTTAGTTCTTCAAAGAACCGTAGAGAATAATATTCTCACAATTTCCTGAATAATAATCTGTCTTTTCATTGATTTGAAGCTCCTTTGTCTCCTCGGGATTGCTCCTATAGGCTGGTCGGTTTGGAATTGTCGCACCGGGAACAAAATCAATTTGATGTTCAATCCCTTGGATTGGAGGTAACCCATGTGGTGTTTGCTCAAGAAAGACATCCTCATACTCTGCAAAAGAGAAACAACAGAACTAGGCAAAGCGAGGACAAGTTCGTTAGTGTTTAAAAGTGCCTCTTTGTACAAAAGTACAATCATCGGCTGATTTGAAAACATGGTTCGCTTAATCTCACTCACTTTTGCATAGAAATTCTTTTGTTTTCTCTCTGATTTTTTTTCAATGGCCGCATTTTTGATTTTCTTTTTCTCTCTCATTTTTCTCAGCCTCTCTCTGATTTTCACTCTTTTTCTTTTTCTTTGGTTCACTCTCTTTCTTTTGATCACTCTTTTTTTGCAATCTCACTTGATCCTCATATACTTGCTACAGTGTCAATGGTACAAGAGTGATTGATTGTTGATTAAGCACAAAGGAGTATTTGTTTGTAAAGCCATCATGCTTCACATGCCCATCAAACTACCATGTACGCCCTAGCAATAAGTGTCCTGCTTGCATCGGTACTACATCACACAACACTTCATCTTTGTACTTAACAATTCGGAATGCAACTAACACCTGCTTGTTCACCCTTATCTCACCACTATCATTTAACCATTGCAACTTATAGGGTTTAGGGTGCTTCAACACTGGTAGTCCTAATTTCTCCACCATAATTGTGCTTGCAACATTAGTACAACTACCACCATCAATAATCACACTACACACCTTGTCTTTGATGTAGCACCTAGTATGAAAGATGTTCTCCCGCTACACTTCATCAACCTCTTTGGCATGTACGCTCAATGCTCTCCTCACCACCAATGTCACTACATCAGGGGCTAAATATTCCTCCTCGGGAACGTCCTCCAATGGTGGCATGTCATCAGTGTTGGAATCTTCATTGTTGGTCACAATTTCACTATTGTCTTGCAACACCATGACCTACTTGTTTGGACATTGACTTGCTATATGTCCCATGCCTTGACATTTAAAACATTTAATGTCACGAATCCTAGAGGTAAAAGTGTCAGTTTTACCTTGAGGAATGTGGTTGGTGTTCGCGGACTTGGGCTCTGCTTTGGACGTTGGTGACTTGTCCAGTTGCTTAGTATAACTTGGTTTCCAAGAGGTAGAACTAAAGTTATGGGCTGCACGTGACCCATCCCTCCTCTTGAGTTGTTGCTCCACTTTAACGGCCATGTGCACCATGTCTTCCAACTCCACATAATGCTGCATCTCTACCTTATCTAGGATTTTTTGATTTAATCCAAGTAAAAACCTAGCCATGGTAGCCTCTCGATCCTCCTTTACATTAGCTCGGATCATAGGAATCTCCATCTCCTTGTAGTAATCTTCCACGCTCCGACTTCCCTGTCTAAGACCTTGTAGTTTGTTGTACAACTCTCGGTAGTGGTAGCTTGGAATGAACCGCTTTCTTATCACCGTTTTCATCTCCTCCCATGTCTCCATTGGACGTTCTCTATTTCGCCTCCGGTTTATAACAAGCTAATCCCACCAAGTAATAGCATAGTTAGAAAACTCAATCACTGTTAATTTTACCTTCTTTGCTTCAGAATAGTTATGGCAGTCAAATACAAACTCCACCTTTTTCTCCCACTCAAGATATGCTTCAGGATCAGATCTACCTTGAAATGATGGAATCTTCATCTTAATACCACCCAAGTTGTTGTCTTCCCAGTTCCTAGCTTCCCTAAACCACCCTTCATGTCTCCTATTACTAACAACAGAATTTCGATCATCTTCTTCATCAAAACCAGCCCCATAAGGCTCTTCATCCTTAACCCTTACTTCCCTCGGCTGAACTCTTCCCCTTCTATGCACATAAGGGACGTTTTGTGGCTGCCTCTCATGTGTTTTCTCCATTTGATCTATCCGTTCGTGAACTTGCTCTAGTTCCAACTTCATCACATGGTTCATCTCACTCATCATGGCCTCCATAAACAATTTTGGGTCAGCAAGATCCATAGCATTGTTGTGAGACATGATTGCTGCAAAACAAAGTTAGAAAAAAAAATAAAAAGAAAAAAAATAATAAATAAAAGAACCTCACAATTCTCTCCCTTATGTGTTTACACTCAAGAATGTGAATCACTCTACACTCGTGTTTCACTCAAAATGCATGGCTTTTTTAACCCTTTAATGTGCTCACCACTCTTGCCTTTTCTACTCGATAATTTCTCTTTCAGTTCTTTTGAAACTAAACAAATAATTCTCAAAATTTTCAGCAACAATTCACCAAGAACTCATCAAGGAATTTAAGGTTTGAAGAGCAAGAATTCAAGGAACATGACTGATTAGATTTTCGGAAGCAAAAATTAGCATGATTTCCAAAAAAAAAATCTAATTTTGGGGTGAGGTGGTTTTCGGGCTTATTGGATCCAAGATGGATGAATTTTAAACAATCTGATTTTTTTTTTGGGTGATGGATGAACACAAATAATGGAGCGATGGATAAACACAAACAATCTGATCTTTTTTTTTTTTTGACTTCTTTCTGCCCTTTTTTTTTTATCAGCAACTAATTTTTTGTGGTAACAGAATATGAATTTGTAATAAGTAGAACCAACAAAATACGAGCGTAATGGGGTAAAGGATATTCAGCTACACTAGGATATGTGAACCGAATTTTTTTAGGAACTAAAAGAACGCATAATAACGAAGAGATAGGTTTTAAAAGATAGGCAAACCTGAACTCGAGCCTTGGCTTTGATACCAAATGATGTGAAACCCGCCAAGAATAACGAGAACCAACAATGAAAAGGAACCCAAGATCGTTTTACAATCAGATTTGATGCTAGACCTCGACCCGTTGTTTACGACAAACAAGAACCTTGGTATAAAGGAAGACGCCACCAAACGCTGTGGAAACCCATTTGATAAGTCAC